TGAGAAATTGTGGAACAAGATGGGAGGGATATGTAGAGCAAGCACGTCAAACTCGCGGCCCACAACGAATGTTTTTGTGGCCCAGCCAATATAATGGTGTGAGCAGATACTTACAATTATGAAAGGAAATAAGTCTCCTGTCAGATCCAGAATTACTGGCATTCACCTTGGGTCACTTTTGAAAGCAATCACAGCGAACAAGATTTCCCCTGAAGTAGGAAAGATAGAAGAGAAGAGATGCCAAGTGTCAAGGAAGAAAACCTTAATTTTATCATGGCCCTTGTTCTTTTTTTATATATACTATACTCTTCGAAATAAACCTACGTTTCTATGAAAATGGAAGCTTTTGTTTTTTTGCGGCCCACATAGAAGATAGAAGAGAAGAGATGCCAAGTGTCAGGAAGAAAACCTTAATTTTATCATGGCTCTTGTTCTTTTTTCTATATATATATATATATACTATACTCTTCGAAATAAACCTACGTTTCTATGAAAATGGAAGCTTTTGTTTTTTTGCGGCCCACATAAACTTAAACCTTGTTTATTTGGCCCGTGTTAGCCTTTGAGTTTGACATGCTTGCTGAAGAGTGCCATACCTACTCTGGGCTGCCCATGATTATGTGTGAAGAAATAAACTTCTGTCTTAATTAGATTGCAGTTTTGGTTTTCTGTCACTCTTAGCTGAACCAAGTCCTACTATCACCATGTACAATGTCTTTGAGTTTGACATGCTTGCTGAAGAGTGCCATACCTACTCTGGGCTGCCCATGGTTATGTGTGAAGAAAGAAACTTCTATCTTAATTAGACTGCAGTTTTGGTTTTCTGTCACTCTTAGCTGAACCAAGTCCTACTATCACCATGTACAATGTGCCAGCACCTTCTCTAAGTACCATCTGTGAAAACACTGCACACATTAACTCAATGATTGCCCACATCATACCAATGAGATAAGCACTTCTGCCACACACTCCCATTTTAAATGGAAAAACCGAGGCTCAGAATAATTAAATACCTTGCCCAAGTTCATACCGACTTCACACGGAAGACGCTGTGTCTCCAGAGCCCATGCCCAAAGCTATCCTGTGAGACACCAACAAATGAATGAACCCAGAATAAGCCGATAATGATAAAAACCAACCTAACAGTAATGCACTATTAATAAGTGAAAGGATTTGTCATCAGAACCTCAGATACCTCAGTATACTAGTGATGACACATGATAAGAAATTGGCCCTTTGAAATTGGGGAGAAACACAACTCTCTGCATTTGTGCACTTGCCAAGCGTTTTTGTGGCTGCCAGGCTTCTCAGTCGCGTGCTAAATTAGAATCCTTAGCACTTCTACATGTGTGCCAACTGCCGTTTATAAATATTAAATGGTAATAACGCATGTGGGAGATGACTAAGTATCCCCTGGCTGCATGCAAAACTGAAAATCTGTGGAATTACACTTCTTTCCCATGTAAGGAAGAAAGATGTGCTTTTTATCAAATTTAGGCCATACCTTGAGAAGCATTCATATAAAATGCTGTATGTGGAATGAAGCCTCTTGTTTTACATCCATAGCCCTCTGTTTCTTTTCTTTTTTAAAAAATTTTGTTTTATTGCTTAAAATATTACAAAGAGTAGTACATGTCTCCTTTTTTTTCCCCCTTGACCTTCCCCTGGCCTCCTCTACCCCCCAGTGTCTTGTGTCCATTGGTTATGCTTATATGCATGCTTATATGCTTATATGTATGCTTATATGCATACAAGTCCTTTGGTTGATCTCTTCCCCCCATTCCCCTGCAACGCTCCCCGGCCTTCCCGCTATAGCCCTCTGTTTCTTGTTCCTCTGTATCTCGCATTGTCTCATAGGTTTCTGTATGTCTCAGATTGGTTTGAAATTTAGGACATAAAGTGTTGTGAGATGATTAAATTCATCTTGCAACTGCATGGCATTAGGGACACAACTGCATGGCAATTAGGGACATCTTCTGGAAACGCATAGCCAGTCCACCCGGGGAGACATGGCCAAGGCAAGTGCAACCCAAGGTGAGATGCACCGTAATAAGGCATGTTCTACAGGAAGAGAACAGAAGTGGTTATTTGTTGGCGAAGGCTTGAACAATCACTGGGATTCTGCCAAATGGAGAAAAGAGAAATCAGGCTGAGAAAAAGAGTACAAAAACACAAAGCTGTAGAAAAAAAAATGGAAGAGGCTTAGGGAGTGACATTTATTTAAAATTATATGCATGGATTACTATACTAGTATATTGTGAAAACAAACATAAGTCGAAATTATAAGAAAAAAATAAGCAATTCTAAAGGCACTGCTAATCATGAACATGGTAAAATTGAGTTTAAAAAAGTGAAAACAGAAAGCTTATTAATTTTGTTTTCTAACTTTATAATGTCTAATAATATTAAACTGGGCAATTTATTGATTCCTGTTGGGATGCTTTATTTTAATTTTTTCCCAGAAAAGAGATATTAGGAAAGGTTGGGGGTCGGTGGGCATGATACTCTACTTAGGAATGAGCCATCTCTCTAAACACAAAAATTACAGACTTACTTGTATGTTGCACACATACAAACACAAAGATATTGCCAATCACGATGCCTTTTTACATTATTATCAGCTAATACCTTAAGCCTCACTATACACTTAAGGAGGAGCTCATCATTAAATATGGAGCGTGTACATTTCTATTTCAAGCACTTTTCCATTATTTTAAATTTGGGGGCCAAGTCTTGTGAGGTATGGTTAAATGGTACTGCTACAAGTCTAATTGCTGAAGGCTCATATTTGGTGGAGCCTCAGTCCCTTAGGCTTAAAGTTTAGTGTTATCTTTAATTCATAGTTTCTTTGTGACAAATACTTTAAATCATTTGCCTTCTTGGTAAAGAGTAATTTAAAACTAGATAACATAATCTGTATTACCCATTCCACAGGGGTAAAAGGACAATAAAGTTACAGTATGTATTGAAAGAAAACAGATGAGAAAGATACCATGGACCCCTTCCCATTACAGTATCTTCCCTTAGGGTACTTCCCTTCCTGCCTGTGACATGAGCTAGTCTATCTGTGTATGTGTGGGGCAGCTTCCTTACCCATTCAATGCAATGAGCATAGCACCCAATATATAGGAGGCATTCAATACATGCGTTGAGTGAATGAATAGGGAGGAAGGGTAGATTTTAAAGATCTTGATCTTGTAAGCAACAAAGAATCCATTCAGAGTTGTTTTGGAGTTTTGGTGGTTGTTTTAATACAGTGATAGCGAACCTATGACACGCGTGTCAGAGGTGACACGCGAACTCATTTTTTTGGTTAATTTTTCTTTGTTAAATGGCATTTAAATAAATAAGATAAATATCAAAATATAAGTCCTTGTTTTACTATGGTTGCAAATATCAAAAAATTTCTATATGTGACACGGCACCAGAGTTAAGTTAGGGTTTTTCAAAATGCTGACATGACGAGCTCAAAAGGTTCGCCATCACTGTTTTAATAAGATGGTGACATGACCAGATCCAGCTTTTAGGCCTATAAGATGAGCATCAGAGTGGCGGATGGACTGGAGTTGGAGAGGGCAGACTAGAGGCAGGGAGATTGATTAGCAGGCTGACGCAATAGTCCAAGTGAAAGGTACAAGAGCCTGAAATGTCAGTGGCCAACGAAATGGACATTAGACAAAGTTCAAGTTGACAGGACTTTATGACTAATTGGCCTGGGGGTGAGGGAAATATCCAGAATTAATTCAAATTGTCCAGTTTGGATGCCTGTGAGCTAGATAATATAGAAAGAGTGACTTTGAGGGGAGGGAAGGATAATGAGGGCTGGTCTGGACATGCTGATTTGGGCCTACAGAGGCTTAGCAAGAAGCTGGCAATGTGACTCTGGAGCTCAGGAGAAGGCCTGCATGGAGCTGCATATTTGGAGGTGATAATTATTTGATAAATATTTGATGAAATGTCTCCCAAGGAGGAGATATGTTTGAAAGAGGGGTCCATCCTGTTACTTCTTGGCTTTAAAATGCTTTTGGTCACATGATTCAAAAGATAAAGTCCAAATGTCTTAATTTTATACCCTAAAGTCTCCCCAGTCTAATATCAACCCATCTTGTTCAGTCATTTATTCAACACACCAGCCTTTATAGAAAGCCTGGATGCGCTGTGGTATGTCTTGGGGGCAGAGAGATGACTAAGTCTTTGTTGCTGCCCCGGAAGAGGTCTATTGGGGAAAAGAGACAACAAAATAGACAATTAGCATTCAGTAAGATAAGGATAGTAATAGAGACCATCTCATATGGTTGTAGCAAGAATTAAGTGAGTTCATACACATAAAGTCCTAAAACTGTTGAATATGCAATTATTATTATTATTATTATTATTATTGGAGGGGTATATAATTGGACTGGGGTGTAATTCCTTTGATTGGGCAACTACTGAGCTGAATCATGAAGGAAATTTGAATTAGCCAGAATAAAGGTTGGAGAAAGACATTCCTGAACTTCCTCCTGTTCCCTTGTGTAGTGGGTTGAATGGTGTTCCCCTTTCTCCCCCCCCCCCCCCCCCCGACCCCAATGATATGCCCATGTCTAAATTCCTGAAACCTGTGTATGTTACTATAAAGTAAATAACTGTAAAAAGGCAACATTGCAGATGTCATTAAATTAAGGATCTTATGATCAGATCACCCTGGATGATCTGAGTGAGCCCTACACTCAATGACCAGTGGTCTTGTAAGAGACAGAAGAGGAGAACCACAGAAAAGAAGAGAGGACCATGTGAAGACAGAGCCAGATGGGAGTAGTGTGGCCACAAGCCAAGGAAGCCAAAGAATGCGGATAGTTATCAGGGGCTGGAAGAAGAAAAGAGGAATTCTCTCCTAGAGTCTTCCGAGGTAGTCCAGCACCTTAATGTCTAATGTCTGGCCTCCTGAACTGTGAGAGAAGAAATGCCTGTTACTTTAAGCCACCCAGGTTGAAACAATGCATTACAGCAACCCTCTCCACAGCTAATTCTTTGCTGGTGGTGAACAGAACACACCCCAGGCCCTCATGGAGTCTGTATTCTGGTTGAGGGGTCACACAAAAATAAACAAATACAGAGTTAAATTTATTTTTATTATTTTTAACACTTATCTTCATTGTTGAAAGTATTACAGATGTCCCCCTTTTTTCCCCATTGACCCCCTCCACCTCACACCTATACCCTCCACGCCCCCGTCCCACTCCTCCAGGCCTTCACCACATTATTGTCTCTGTCTATGGGTTATGCATATATGCATATAAATTCTTTGATTAATCTCTCCCCACCCACCCTACCTTCCCTCTGAGATTTATCAGTCTGATCCATGCTTCTATGTCTCTGGATCTATTTTGTTCACCAGTTTATTTTGTTCATTAGATTCCACATATAAGTGAGATCACATGATACTTGTCTTTCTCTCACTGGCTTATTTCGCTTAGCATAATACTCTCCAGGTCCCTCTACCATTGTCTCAAAGGGTAAGAGATCCTTCCTTCTTATAGCTGCATAGTGGAGTGTTAGGTACTGTGAAAGTTAAACTCCAGAATTTCATATCAAATTGTCCACTTGCCATTTCTACTTAAGTGTCTCATGGGCATCCCAAAGTTAACTTTCCCCAAATAGAAATGCCTGGAGGTAGGAAGCTGATTTTTTTCAAGAGAGTCAGGCTAGACCTCTGGGTGGAGGTGACAGTACAGAGATGATGAGGCTGAGCTACGGTGGTGAATGAAAAGGGAGGTTCAAAGCAAGGTCCTTTTTGTTTGTTTTTTTGGGGGGAGGTAAGGGGGAACACAGTGCTTGGAGGTGAAGAGAGAAAGAGGTTGAAGATTCAAGGGAGGAGGTAACAGGAGTAAATCCAGAGGAGGCAGAGTGACATGGGACTAAGGTGAGAAAGCAGCACAGGGATCAAGGTCTCCAAAGGGAAATAGTAAGAACAGAGCAGGGACAAAGAGATGCTGACTCAGAGGAAAACTGTCTGGGTTTGAATCCTGGCTCTGTCACTTTTGGTTATAAAAGAGCAGGAAATTACATAATCTGGATCTTGATTTCCTCATCTATAAAATAAATAAGGATAATAATTGCTCCTACCTCATGGGATTTGTTAGGAGACTTAAATATGTTAATGTATGCATAGTACTTGGCTCGATGGCTGGCACTGAGTATGCAGTACGTGTCATTATCACTATGAAGATTATTAGAAGTAGCATCAGGTCTAGAATGAGAATGTGAACACTGGAAGGAACTTCAGAACCCTCTAGTGCAGTGGTTCTCAAACTTCTGGCCCTTTAAATACAGTTCCTCATGTTGTGACCCAACCATAAAATTATTTTCACTGCTACTTCATAACTATAATGTTGCTACTATTATGAATCGTAATGTAAATATCTGATATGCAGGATGGTCTTAGGCGACCCCTGTGAAAGGGTCGTTCGACCGCCAAAAAGGTCACGACCCACAGGTTGAGAACCGCTGCTCTAGTGTCTAATTCTCTTATTGTACAAATGGAGAAACTGGGGCCCAAAGAGTTTGTAAATTGGCCAAGTTTAAAGAGCTAGTTAGGGGCAGAGTCAAAACTAGACTTCTTGAAACTGTGTGTTTTCTGGTGGGCTTCACGTAGAGATTCAGGCATCATAATGATACAGGCGGTAATTGGGGATCTGGGGAAATAGAGGATGATATTCAGGTAGAATCCAGAGAATGAGCAAACAATGTGGAAAGAAGAGATAGCAAGGCTGACTCTGAGTTGGGCAGGGATATAGAAGAACTAGAAAAAGTTATTGGTTGTAGAAGCCAAGACAGAGACCTCAAGGGGAGAAAATGGTCAATTGTATCAAATACTCCAGAGAGTTGAAGAAAGATTCTGACTCTAGTTCAAAATGCTAGATTCGGGTGAACTTAATTCAAGCATAAGTTCCATAAGACACTGAGCTCTAACACTGTTCTTGTTCTATTTGCAAAATCAGGATAGGCATGGAAAATCTGCTGACTAGTTTAACAAATTTAAATCCATACCTTGTGCCCTAACCGGTTTTGCTCAGTGGATAGAGCGTCAGCCTGCAGACTGAAAGGTCCCAGGTTTGATTCTGGTCAAGGGCATGTACCTTGGTTGCGGGCACATCCCCAGAGGGGCTGTGCAGGAGGCAGTTGTTCGATGTTTCTCTCTCATCGATGTTTCTCTCTCATCGATGTTTCTAACTCTCTATCCCTCTTCCTTCCTCTCTGTAAAAAAAAAAAAAATCAATAAAATATATTAAAAAAAAATAAATCAATCAATACCTTGTAAAGTTGGCAATGGAGGGAGACTTTCTACTTGGAAGGGACTTTGCTCCAGACCCTGACATTAACTTTGGGTGTCTCTCACACTAATGTCTGCTGCAGACACAATCAGCAGACTGGCCTTAGGGGGACAAAACATGGATTTTACAATTCATCTCATTGCCATAGTACAGCTGAGACAAGTTATATTATTTAAGCAAGATACTACTAAAGGTTGGACCCCTAATGTTATGGCTGGTCATGAAACTCTTTTCTTCTCTTTTAGATTCCCTTCATAAGTAAATTCATTTAATCCCATAGCTTTAAAACACCATCTCAATGTCCCAAACTCTCAAATGTATATCTCCAGCCTGACTTCACCCCTGAGCAATTGCCTACTCTAGACCATTACTTAGATGTCTGGTGGTCATCCTCCACTTAACCTGTCCAAAAGCACACACTTGATGTCCTGGCCACAAACTAGGTCTTACCTCCATATCCCCCGTCTTGGTAAATTTATGTCCCACCCACAGCACATTCTCTAGGGTCTCCTCCAGAATATTTTCCAAATTGCAGTCCTTCTCTATACCTGATACCTTGTTATTCCAAGCTGCTGCCCGCTCTCACCTGGCCCTCTGTAATAGTGTCCCAACTGGATTTTCTGCTTCTAGTTTATAGCATCTCCTGTCATCTGTCACACGACAGCCACAAGTCTCTTTAATACATAAATCACATGTTACTCTCTTGATTGTAAACCTCCAATGGCTTCCCATCACATTAGGACTAAAACCCAAGATCCATGAGACCTTATAAGATCCAGACCTTTCTCATCGTTTTGACTTCTCACACCAGCTTCCCTCTCTCACTAGGCTCCAGCCTAATCCTAGTTTTCTGTTCCTCAAACAAGCCATGCTGATTGCTGATGTACCAGGTGTACCGGTTAATAATGCGAATTTTTTTCAATAGATGGAGTTACACATATGTTGATATATATGTGGTTTGATATGTATGCTATTTTGTTGTATTGACAGCAAGCTTCAAAACTTCACATGTCAAATTTTCTGAAGTTGTTAACATCATAGATATTTTTACACTTAAAAATGTCAGATTTCGTGCCAAAAAAAGAACATTTGTGGGAATTTTTAATTCCTTACTTTATTTTGAAGAAAAGTGCTGCTGGAAGTTATCGTATACTTCGGGAAGCTTATGGTGAACATGTTCCATCTCAAGATACTTGTGAATGCTGGTTTTAATGCTTTAAAAGTGATGATTTTGATGAGCACTTCAAAACGTACAAAGAAGTGGAAAATTGAGTCTGAATGGTTTGCCTCAAAACAAGAAAAGTTCTATTGGGACGGTACCAACAAATTACCTGAAAGATGGGGAAACGTGTAGCTAGCGATGGACATTACTTTGAATAAAGCACTTTTTATGTTTCTCTTGAAATTATCGTTTCCTTTGATTACAAAATCTGGTACGCCTGGTAATATTACCTCATCTCTCTATCTGGAATGGCTTGCCCCACCGCGCTCCCCTCTTCTCCGTCTTCACTTGGCTGCCTCCTCCTCACCACAGAGGTCTCTGCTTATTGATGTTTTCTAACAGCAGCCTTCCCAGTTCATGCTTGTAGTGTAGCTCTCTAGTCAGTCTCTACCATATCCGTTAACTTTGTATCTGATCACTTATCTAGTAATATTTTCTTATTTACTTTTATGTTTATTGTCTGTTTCTTCCCCACTGGAATGTAAGTTTTCTGAAAGCAAACTTTCTGTTTGGTTTAACCACTTTGTATTCAGCCCCAGAAAAGTGCATACACATGGTAGGCATTCAATAAATACTGACAGAGAAAGAAAGAAAAGGGAGGGAGGGAGGAAGGGAAGGGAAGGGAAGGAAAGTTGGGGGAATTCTCTGGCAAAG